AAAAAAAAAAAAAAAAAGTGGTAGCTACAGTTGGTGCTGTGATGGCCGTGAAGTGTCCTGGGCCTCCCAAGGCCTCCGACTAATAAACAAGCCATGAGCAGTGAGGACGCATCTCCTTACCGTTTCCATTGCCAACAGCCATCCGTTGTTTCTTTTTCCTTTGTCTTTCTGTTTCCTTTTTTTTTTTTTTAAACACACCTTGAATCAGTTTCTTTGCATATGGTTTCACGTCTGTCTCTGGGCGGGGACCGGGCAGGACTTCAGAAAAACTCTCGTGAGCACATTGCATTCGAAAGATGTTAGATATGAAATTTTAAATGTAGTTTGTACAGAAGTCACACTTTTTTGTCCGCCTCACAGATGTGAACGTTACCTTGTTTTTAAACTGATCAGTTTTGCAAAGGGGCCAGAATTATTACTTGTTAGAGTTGCACCAGTTTGAGTCTGCTGCTTTCCTACAGTTTTTCAAATTTTATAATGTATTAAATACAATAAACTCTGTTTAAAAAATAAGGTCTGTGTGAAACACACATGTCGGGGAGAAGCTATATTAAAATGAAATATTCCTTTTTTAAAATTTTCTGTGTTGAGCATCAAAAAGAGGCCTAAAAACTGAGGTGAGCAGTCAAAACCCTGTAAAGGACGCAGGCGGCCGTCACCTGGTGTAAACAGTCCTGTCCCTCTCGTGGGTGTTATGTCCCGCTGTCACTCTGCATTGGTTAGCAAGAGAAATCTTCCTTCCTTTGAACCCTTTGTTTACAAATATCACTTGCCTCCTGCTGCAGAGCAAACCACACCGTTGCAGCTTAAGACAACATTTTACTCTCTTGTGACTGTGGTTCTCTTGTGTGGACCGGCCTGCACCGGGCCGCTTCTGCTGCACTGACGTCATCCGGGGTGTGGCCGGGCTCCCCCTCGGGGCTGTCAATTGATGTTGACCCAGGGCCTCTCCCAGTGGCTTGGGCCCCTCCCAGCATGGGGCTGGGTTCCAGGAGGGAGTGTCCTAAACTCAGGTGTTTCCGAGAGGGAGGAGGCAGAGGCGCAGTCCTCGGAAAGGGCTGGCCGGGAACTGTCCCGTGCACTTCTGCAGCAGTCTGTTGGTGACACACACACAGACCAGCCCTATTCCAAGGGAGGGGAAATAATATCCACCCCTTGAGGAGAGTAACAATTGATAGCCAACGTGGACCTGCTGGAACAGCTGTCCAAAAGATCCAAAAAGTAGGGTATTAGGGTTTTGGACGAAGTAGGGAAAACCTCTGGGCCTCTCATTATCCAGAGAGGAAAGAAACCTGAGGTTTCAGTGCCCTTTGGAATTAAGCCCTTAGCTTTTCCAAGGCGTTAGTGGTTCCGGAGGCTCCTCCGTCAGCCCTGCCATCACCTCTCTTCCCTCCTTCCTCTTCCTCATTCCACACACTCAAAATAAACTTGGCACGATAAGATTGACAGGTAAACTATAATGTGTTTCTGCTACAGAGACGTTCCTGTGGTGATGGGCTATTTCCACCCTGAACTTTCTTTTTTTAAATTAAAAAGTCTGTGCCCGAGGACACTAGTAATGAAAATATCTCTGGCTTCTGAAACTAAAAGTAAGCTGTTAATGGCTCCTATCGCCCCCTGAAACACAGAGATGGCCCACACTCAGTTACTCTGATGACTGCAGCCAGGCTTCCGCGTGGCTGTTTCATTTCCCTTTATTTGAGACGAATACAGCGCCGTCTCGGGTGGGCGCACCAGGGCCGCTCCCCGGCCGCTTGCGCATCCACGTGCTACTGAAAAAGAGTGAAATTGCTACATGATTTTACTCGTAATCCATTCTCATTAGGCAGAATTTTCCTAAATCAATAAAATCAAGAGCCCTCACCTTGGGGCAGTCAGCTGGTTCCTGCGGGTTAACATTTACCCCGCACTCCTATGTACAGCTAGTGCTGTCCCACCCAGTCACTCCACCGAGGTCTGTGCCTTCCTATGGTCGCCCACTTTGTTCCTTTCTAAGTTCTATGCCCATTTGTACAGCTACAACCCAACTGCTCATTCTTTCTCCTCTGGGTTTTTCTCCCCCCACCGGTGATTTTAACATTCACTGGTAATCTTTTCCAGAATTAATCATTTACCTTGGTGGCTATAAAAGTGTACTTTAAAAAAAACAACTCCTATTGTCTGCACCATTGTATTTCAAAGAACCTTTTTTTTTTTTTAAGCAAAATACAATCTTTTAGTCTAGTGTACACAAACTACATTTTCTGACCTGCTCTTTTCTAGGAAGTATTTTAGAAAAGTAGAATGAAGGAAGCCATTTCTAAACTGGTTTCTAAATACTATATGAGTTTCTACCTAGTAGTAATAATAGTCATGCACTCAACGTTTGCTTCATGCCAGGCACTGTGCCGAGCACTTTAACTTGCATTAACTCATTGACTCCTTCTGCTCATACAAGAGGGTGTATTATCCACATTTCTGTTCAACTAAAACTCCCAAGACGTCAAGTAAATGATATGCTAAAGGCTAATGTCCATTTAAGCTTTATAAAGGGAGCCCCAAACAAAGTATTTGAGAAAAAGTAAGTTTTCATGTTTTAATGAGGAAGGAGATAATTAATTAAAAGCATTTTCTCCTTGGAATAGAAACATATTCTTGTGTTTAAATATTTGGAGCATGCTTTACAATATGCTGGGCACTCCGTTTGGGTGGTACAATGATGACCATGACATGATCTCTGCCATGGGGTGCTGGGGTGCTTAGGGACCTGCACAGCATGAGGCAGAATTCAGGGATGTGCATTTGCTATCGTACAAGACACTAGGGATATGTGCCTTTTCATATTTACAAACCAAGGATATGGAAATGCCAAGTGATAAGGGATCACATCTAGTTGGGGACATTAGAAAAGCATCAGGGGAGGTAGCACTTGAAAGATGGGGAGGCTTTCACAAGGGGTACAGAAGGAAGGCAGGGGCTCAGCTGGGGAAGCATAAGGCAGGTTCCGAGCGTGGAGTGAGGTACAGCTGGGTAGTTGGGTAACAGCAGAACATTCTAGAAAAGGAAGGTGGAATTTGTCTGGAGTAGGGGTTGGTCTCTAGTACCAGGCTTGAGGTTTGACATCGTTCAGGAGTTGTTAGAGAATCACGAAGGTGCGCTCTGCGAATATTCACCTGGGGGTCTGCAGACTCAGCTGGCTGGGAACAATCCGTTGGTGTGGCTGGCAGTTAAGTGGCTGTTTTTCCATTTCATCCATCATGACCTACCTGGCTAAGAGCTGACAATCCAAAGATATATGAGAAAATAAGACATCACCTTGAGTATAGGGGATGACAAACTCAGATGCCTATGAGGACCAGGTGAGTCATGTCAATTAGGAGACAAGCAGGAACGTGTGTGCCTCACTCAAAGGGGCAACCCCCACTCAACACAGGTTCTCCAGCAAGAGAACAAGACTTCTGTACACTTAAACTTTGGAAAATCTGGAAATTCAATTTCTGTGAAGTCTCTGGATATTCAGATGTTAGAACCAATTCATTTTTTCAAATGTACAGACCAAAGAAGGAAAGTTACGAAGTAATAAAAGTTGTAGACATTCTAGAAGAATCCCATTTGGGCGGAGTCATATGTAATGGCACAAGAACTAAACTGTTTGAAGACATAAGTTTTATAAAAAATAAAAATTTGAGACAAACTTTTAAGCATAATACCATTTGATTGTAAAGAGTAAAATTCTGGCACTGTGATAAGGGCTTTACAGATGCTCTTCCCTTCAGTCCTCAGAGAAACCCTATGAAGTTGGCATTCATTATTATCCCAATTTTATGGATGAAAATATTGGTGAGTCAAAAAAATTTCCAGCCTGGCCGGTGTTGCTCAGTGGTTAAGCATCGACCCATGAACCTGGAGGTCAGGTTGGATTCCCAGTGGGGGCACAGGCCTGGGCTTCCGGCTCAGTCCCCAGTAAGGGGCGTGCAGGAGGCAGCTGACTGATGATTCTCTCTCATCATGGATGTTTTTATCTCTCCCTCTCCTTTCCTCTCTGAAATCAATAAAAACATATATAAAAATTTTTTTCCCCAAAGTCCACAAGACACTTGGAACACATACACACACACACACACAATATTCGATTAATACCTGTACTCAACTCTTTCTGGTTTCCTAACCAATGCAAAAAATGATTTTGTTCTGTCACTGGCAACCACAGTGAACTTTATTACAAGACACTAGACGAGAATACCACTATAGTAACTTACCGGTTATAGAGTAAGAATTACTAGTAACATCTGTGACCAACTAAAGCCCTGAGAAGACGTTGTCTCTGACTTTGTAACTGT